GGGGACAAGAGTCCAATGTGCCCCCCTGGCCATTCACCGCTCCCCAGGCTGGGTTTTGCTTTAATAGAATTTTCACTGTTGCCGTGAGGTAAGTCAGAGACCAGGCCTGAGGACGCCCCCAGCAGACCAAGAGGGTCACGCTGAGCGAGTCCCTTACCCCTGCTTGGTGGGCAAACAGAGCTCCTTCCTGAAACGGCCCAGATGAAAGAGAAACGGAGTGTGGGCCCCACCACAAGGAGCCACCAACACACCTGCAACTGTGTGACAAGGAACTTCCCAACAGCATTGGACAACTTTACAGCTGTCACCAAATGCTGTCTCCGTCAAAGCCTGTTCCTTACTCGGCCACCACCTCACACCACACACCACCTCGGGTTTGGAGCTGCCCGGCTCTGTGATTGCTTTTGCTCAAATGAACTCTTTAAAGGCTCACCGTGCCCCGGGTTCACCTGCGTGGAACTGACACTAGGCATCCATCTATTGCATGCTGTCAGGTTCTGGATCTGAAATGCCCCCAAAGGCTGATACGTTGAAGGCTGGGTTCCTGCAGTGTCCAGAGGTTGGGAAGTGATGGGATCACGGAGAGGTTAGCCTCCTCCATAGCTGATGGCATCACTGAGAGCCGATGGGAACTGGGAGCTGGGGACTAGGGAGAGGAAGCAGTCACTGAGTCAGGCCCTCAAAGGGCGTATGTTGCCCCCAGCCCCTCCCTCTCTCTCTTTCTTTCTCCTCCACCGCAACTTCCGCCAGAGTGTTTCTCTCTAAAAGCAATGAAACTAGCTGACCATGGACTGAAACCAGGAGCCAAAACTAAGTCTTTTCTTCTTTAGGTTGTTCTTTCTCAGGCATTTTGTCACAGCAACACAAAGCTGACGGACACACCTGCTCATAGTCCATCTCTTCTCAAAGCATGCTCCATGAGAATAGAGACCTTGTCTGCTTTGACTGCAACCATCTCCTGAGCACTGACTTCGCTGTCTGGCACATCATTGCACCAATGAACAAATGGCTCTGACCTACCATTCAGGCATGTTCTTCCTAAGCACCTGTTCAGGTCCCTCTCCCATCAACGAAATCAATACCATGCGTGGCTCACAGGTCCCCGCTCCAAGTCTTTGTTCCTGCTGTTGTCACCATGTGACCTACTCCTTCTTCAAAGCCCGATTCAAATCCTGCTCTGAGGGTGTGAAGGGCATTGTGGAAAGGGCTGGGGTAGGTGCTGGAACTGAGCGCGGAGGCCCAGCTCTGCCCAAGCCCAGCTGGGAGGCCCTGGGCAAGCCCTTCCAACTCAGAAGTTCAGCTGCTGCCTATGAAACAGGGCCACTGTCCACCTTTGCAGGGTTTGTTTGCTCATGCATTTTAGAGTAAATTAAATGAGACATTCAAAAGAGGGACTCAAGTGTGACTTCCCTCCTCGTCCCTCCTCTTCAAAGCTCTCACAGAGCCAAACAGCCACACGGCCTTTGACTCCCCCGTCAATCTAAAACCAAACAAAAACAAAACAAAACAAAAAAACAACAAAAAACAATCCGAGAGAGACTCTCCAAAGAATGACGACATTTATTTGGAAATGGCAGACGTTACCACGGGAACGCACACTCCATACAAACCGTGGGCATATCCAAAGAGGTAGCAGCAAGTCGTCCTTGACCACAGTGATTAATAACCAGGATGGAGTCCGTCCGAGGTCCAACAGACGGCCGCTG